CCCCCCCCAGTGGTTGCATGTTCCCTAACAACCACTGGGGTGAGTGGAACGGCTCTCAGCTTCAGCCCACCATTCAGAGACTCATGAAGGGATACAACCGCTACCTAAGGCCCAATTTCAACGGTAATCAAAAGACTGAGAATACTTTGTTTTTGTGTTTGCCGATTGGATTTTGACCACATTTCTTGTCTTTGTTTACAACAGAAGGTCCTGTGGAGATTGGAATGAGTCTGGATATCGCCAGCATCGACGCCATCTCTGAAATAAATATGGTACACCAAACTCCACTTCGTTCTTCTTTATAGCAGCTGGGCTTAATAAATGAGGTGGTGCAACAACAAACAATGAAAGAAATTCTTCTTGAATGCCGTCCTGTCAGGACTACACAGCAACCATCTTTCTCCGTCAGCGGTGGCGCGACTCCAGGCTGGTGTTTCCCGGGAACGAGAGCGTGAGCGTGGACGGGCGGCTGGTGTCGTTGCTCTGGATCCCGGACACCTTCATCCCGGACTCGAAGCGCTCGTTCCTTCACGACGTGACGGTGGAGAACCGCCTCATCCGCATCTTCAGCAACGGCACCGTTCTCTACGCGCTCCGGTACGTTGCACCTTCCCTGCAATCGGCCGCGCTCCGGCCTCAGGTCCTACTCAAAACAGGAAGGAATCACTGATGCATCACCACCCAGTCATGAACCTTAAGGGAGTGACACTTCATTTCTGGATGCCTGGTGTCCCTGAAATTGCTTTGATTTGTCATGTCGTTGGCATCTATGAAAATGTGGCTTGACATTTAATCTGTTTCGTCACCCGGCTGTGGAACTTTGTTTTGACTCCAAAGCTTAATAGAAGAAGAAAAAAAAAAGAGAGCAGCTTTGCATTATGTTTAGATTCACCCTTCGTCTGGCTGAATTAAGACAGACGGTGATTCATGAATGCCAACGTGAACGGTGGCAACTTGCTTTGAACATGAGTCAGGAAGCTGCCCTCGAATATGCAGAGCGCTTCGCCTGAATGTTTACTGTGTTGCTAAGGGATTTTTAGGATGATAGATTATCGAGACTTGGAGTTAAACATGAATTATGCATCAGATAGCAAACTTTCATACCGAGACATCAGCTACGAGTCTTACAGGAAGAGCGTTCTTTACTTTGGATTTTAATGATGGGTATAAGAGTCAAGGGGGTTGAACATATACATGCCACACTTTTCAGACAAACGGCACATTTTATGTGCATCTTTATTTGCAATTTTTGTGATTGGGTGATGAATAGGGATAAATAAATGAAAGAAAACCTGCAGGAGGAAGCAGCAGACATGACACTGAGGTAAAGGTTCATATCCCGGCTGAATAACAACCCCAACAAGAAAGTCAGATCAAAAGCAGAAAGATTAAAAAAAAAAAAAAACTAAAATGTTTTTGTGGGGGGAAAAAATAAAAATAAATCTGTATCTTTTGATATAAATGAGAATCTTTGATGGGACTTCATAGTTGACATTCATAGAAATTTCTACATTCATTCCGGCTAAGGTTGAGTTGTTTTGTCAAAAGGAACGGGCAGAATTTCAATGTCTGGATGTGCAAAGCTGGTAGAGACATGGGTCTACATTTCTAATTGGCGGTTGCTTTAAAAAGTATTGACGGGGGGCGGAGCGGGGCGGTGAATGGCACAACACACTTCTCTTATTTATAAATGGAAAACCATGTGAACAGCAAACCTTTTAGACGTTAGTTTTATTGTTGTTGCTTTGTTATACACAGTGACACAATATGTGATATTATTGTGGAACTTCAAGTCCAATTTCTCTCTCAGGGTGCAGCAAAGCTGTTTTTTTCTTCTTATTATTCAAAAATAACTCTACACAACATAAACTCCTCCCTTCTCATCCCTGATGTCATCACCTGATTTAACTGACCTGTCAGTAATGATTGCACATCCTAATGTGATGATATAAAACCAGTGATTAAAACAAAACAAACCATGAATAATCCGAATAATGACATAAGTGTGGCAGTACTTTCTTTAAGCACGAAAACGACACGCCGTGGGGAAGAAACTTCACCCCCCACGGTTAGAGTGAGAGAGTTAAACGTGAATAAAACATCAAACGGTGGAAATATTTGCTGACATATCAAATCGGGGCCTTTGTTTTATTTTGTGTTTGGGTTTTTTTTTAACTGTCACTCAGAAGAAAAACAGTTCTTAGCTTTCACTGATCTGTTGCCGTCTTGTGCTCAACAAAAGAAGGAAAAACTTTTATGGGGAAGAGGGGGGGGGGGGACCGTTTTTGATGCTTTTGCTTTGAAAACTCGACAGCATCACGGCTACCATTGCCTGCAACATGGACCTGACCAAATACCCCATGGACAAACAGGTGTGCACCCTGCAGCTGGAGAGCTGTGAGTACTTTCTTCCCACCGACCCTCCGCCAAGCGTGTGTTCGTCTTCTTTCCATTACCTCTGTAGCTTCACATCTTCGTCAGTGTAGAGAGTATAAGCTCTTTGTTGCTGTGCAGATTTGATGCTATAACCATGTACCAATAGCTCATGTGCTGCGTCGTCAGGGGGCTACAACATCCAGGACGTGGTGTTCTACTGGACAAGAGGGAACGACTCTGTGAAGGGTCTGGACACCTTGCGTCTGGCTCAGTACAGCGTGGAGAGCTACTACACGTCGGTGACGGAGGCCGTGTACGAAACAGGTACGGAGTGGGGTAATGTCCAAGCGTGAACGAAATCCATCGCTTTTATGCGTTTAGGGAGCTGTGCTGTCTCGTGTCTCTAAACAGGTCATTACCCCAAGCTGGTGCTGCATTTCTCCCTGCGCAGAAATGTCCTGTTCTTTATCTTGGAGACATACGTCCCCTCCATCCTGCTCGTGGTTCTCTCCTGGGTCTCTTTCTGGATCAGCCAATCGTCTGTGCCAGCCCGAACGTGCATCGGTCAGTATTTTTTTGTTCTTTATGATTCTGGTACACCGTGTACCAGTCAAGCCTCTGAAGACACCGGCTTGTTGATTTTTTTTTTTTTTAACTATGGTCAAATTAAAATGGAAACTTTTGCAACGTTGCAAGAAAGGAGACATGAACAACTGGCAACTCAAAAATACCTTTTGATTTATTTCTTTATTTCTTTACCTTTTGATCAGCTTTAGCAGGTATTTACCCACTAAATTAAATCCAAATATTGTCTGGTTTGCAGTAATTGTGTCTTTCTAAGCCTTCTTCTGTTGTGGCTTAATTACAGTCAACTGGTTCTGCTGGACAAAATTACCATTACGGTCTTTAAACAACTCAAACTGAAGCAGCACATAATCATCGGAGGAAATAACATAGACATAGTTAAGAGTTTACATTGTTTCAGATGACTGTTATTATTGTCCCTGTCTTCTTTGCCAAACACAATCCGTGCTGCAATGCAAAATGTTTTCGGAGGCATTTCAAGTGTCAGGACAGGAACTTGCATGTTGAATGCCACTGCACAACAGGCCGATGTTAAATTTGAACGTTTACTCCACTTGAGAGAGAACCAGTAAGTTGCAGCTGATGAGGCGGATCCATGATGCTTTACCTGATGTAGTTTTGCACACAATAAACTTAACAAGTCTCACGTGAAAGTACAGATTTGTACTCTCAAAGCAGACATAGGGTTGTACGCCTTTTATATGAGTAAATTACATTGTTACTCACTGGTCTGGGGACTTCACCACTTGCTTACCTGATGGTACTCTGACGTCCATCTACGACAGGTCAGAAAAGTATTGCAGAATCCAGCATACGATAGCGATAATTTGATGTTTTTTTCCAAATTTTCTTAAGTTTCCACAAACAGTAGGAGTCATTCTGATCAGTAAACTGCTTTACCTTCATTCTTGCTTTAACAATTGATTCTTCAAATCTCTGTAATCTGGACGCTACCGGTGAAAAAGCAGGTTGTTGCTTCGTTGTGATGCGTCACTGTGGGGAATAATGGTTTTGCTCTTTTTTTGATATGTTGGGACTTTGGTTCACTTCCAGAACATTTGGAGGTATGTCTTATCTGACAACTAAAATCTAAAAGATTGTTTAAATATTTTTTTGAAAAAGATATTTTGCCTGTAACCAACCCAACACTTTAGAAATCCCTCATCAGCTGCTATAGTTCTTCGGTAACCTCACTGCATTTGCCGTTGAATCTGAGAGCAGTGGAAAAGCAGAAGTGTGAGCTGCATCAAGGCACCACAACCAGCCAATGTGTGGTTTGTTAAAATACTCTTCAAAAAGTGCATTCAAACAACGGAATTGCCAGAGACGTCGTGCGTCGACTCCAAACAAGCCAGTTGTGGTTATATTGAACGCAGCACCGGTGGCTGAGGGGATCTCGTTAGCTGAATCGGAGGCATCGGCTGTGGAACCGCTCGTTAAATGTATGTAGACAGACCTGGCTGGATGCAGCAGCAGCAGAAACGTATTGAATATTTGCCAGTTTGTCAGTGGAGCTTCACTTCTAAAGGGCTGAGGGTGTTCACTGAGGCATTTTTTTTTTATGTCAGAACGAAGCTACGGGCTTTGTTAATTTATCTCTTTTTTTACTCGTGGTGTTCAAAGCAAAAGTCCAAAACTTCTGCAGTTTATGGACTTTTAAAGATTAGGTTCCAACCCACCATAATCTGTACTTCTGGTTTTATTTTTATTATTAAAAAAAAAAAAAAGCTTCTTGCTCATGCTGCTCGCTTGATGGTGTTAGTAGACGTTTGGCTCCCATAGCAGGAATATAATTTAACATTGCATAAGACTCGACGCCGTTCTCTTGCCCAGGTTAAATTTCTTCACATTCACTTCATTAGAAGTAAAAATAAAACAAACATCGAGTCAGTTATGCATGTTTTTCATGCGTTGTATTAGTTCAGGCACTTTAAATGACTTCTTTTTTCAAAGGACGAGACGAAGAGATGGCTTAACACGTTTGAGGGAAAAAACAGAGTTTTGATGAAAAGCAAAACGGTGCCAAGTTTTTAGGTTCAGATTGAGAGAGAACACCTTTGCTCTGCAAGAAGGGGATTTACTGGTTATTTAAAGTGCAGTGCTAGTTAAAAGTTATAAGCAGCATAATTCTTACTAGCAGTAGATAACTCTCTTGGCATCTTCACTGATCCAGAAATCCAGATTTATTGGTTTTAGAAGCTGAAAACTAATAACTGCTCAGAGACGCCTGGCTTAATGACTTCAAATCCTACAAATACGTTGATCCACTTTTAAACTCTTGTCGCATTTGTGGTGAGCGGTTATTTAGCCGGTGATTATTTTTTATGGCTCTCCATCAGTGATCTCTTTGTAAAACCTACTGAAATTGGATTATTAAAAAAAAAGAATTCGTTAAACTACAGTATTTTATTTTATTTTAGAACATCTTGTAAAGCAAAGCAAAGGTTTCACATGTTCTGCTCTCAAGTCCTTGAGATTTAGTGTCAACAATCAACTAGTCTGGATTCGGCCTAAATAAAGATGCAGAGACAGATGCTTATGTAATCCTTAAAATAATTACAAAAAATAAAAGACATTGACAAGTCTTGAGCCAAATGAGTTATTACAACTTGGACAAAGATCACGGTTACCTGGAAACAGAAAACTTTCTTCTTAAGGTAAACTGTGACTGTAAATCGATTGAAAAATTATTCTGCTCAAAATCTGCAGGAGTGACCACCGTCCTGACCATGACCACCCTCATGATGGGAGCCCGCACGTCCCTGCCAAACGCCAACTGCTTCATAAAGGCCATAGATGTTTACTTGGGCATCTGCTTCACCTTCATCTTCGGCGCCCTGTTGGAATATGCCTGTGCTCATTTTTATACAATGCAGCATCAAACCATCGAGGATCTGCACAGGGTAAGGAAACGCGTACCAGGCCATAAAATCCAGTCATAGATATCGACCTTGACTGGATTAAAACATCCGTGTGTGTGTGTGTGTGTGTGTGTGTCCCTCAAGGAGCTTTTGAGGGAGTTTGTCGAGTCCAATGGAAACGGCCTGGTGCCAATCGTCAACTCCAGCCAACCGAACCAGTCCGTGGAGGTGGGCACCACCACCGCAGAGGAGCCGGCTGAGGAGCCGGCGAAGAGCGACGCCAAGAACCATGCGGCTTCGACGGAAAAAGCGCAGAGTCAGGGCTGCGGCTTGTCGTCCGTGAAAGACGCCTCGCGCAGAGCAGCTGCCGTCTTCATCGTGGAAAATCCACACAACATCGATCGCCACGCCCGCACCGCTTTCCCCACGGCGTTCCTCTTTGTCAATATCCTGTATTGGCTCTATTACCTCTTTCTCTGAGTGCTGATTAGCAGCAGGCTGCAGGATAGCTCGCCCCACTGCCCTGAAAGCCTTCCCAACCTCCTCGTTAGCCAGCGGCTGGACCTGGACATGTCCGATTAAACTTCTTTTTTTGTTTGTTTGTTTGTAGCAAAAAGATAAAACCTGTTTTAGGGGCTGCATATAATGAGAAGAAGTTAGTCAGGACTGTGCTCTCTGCTAAAAAAAAAGATGGTATTAATTGCGAGTAAATGAACGGCTCTGCACATTTTAAGCATGAGGGTTCGATGATTAAAATCCATGCGTATCGCAGTGCTTTCAAAAGTATTCATACCGACTAAACCTTTCCACAAACTTCACCGTTTTGTTGGGATTTCGTGTGACGCACCAGTGAAATGAGCTGACTGATGATCAATATTTTACCAAACACTTTGCATCTATTTGTACTCAGTCCATCTTGATCAATATTTTGTAGAACCACTTTTGAGCGCAGTTATTACTGCAAGTATTTCTCTGTCTCTATTGGATTTGTACATCGAGAAATTGACTTTTTTTTTTGCCCCACTTTTATTGGCAAACCAGCGTAAGTAGTGTTAAAGAGAGTGATGTGGAACCTAATTTTTCATGTCTCTCACGAGACTCGGAGTTGGATTTACGAACCATTTCATTATAGTTCTGGCTGTCTGTGTGGAATCCTGCTGGAAGGTAATCCCTGTCCCGGTCGTTAGCGTTTCGCAACCTCCAACAGCTTTTTTTTTTTTTTTTTTTTTTCCAGGGTTTCCCCCTCTTCTGGTTAGGATTCCTTTCCACCTACTCAAGAAACGCAACCTCACAGCAAGATGCCGCCACCACCGTTGTTTCGTCACCGGGGAGATTTTTTTTTCAGGGTGATGCGCAGCATTGGTTCGCTGCCACTTCCCCGTCTTTGCTGTGTCTCCTAGATCGGTGGTGGCAAGCTGCATGTTGGAGTTCTTTTAGCGACGGCTTTTCCTCTTGCTAGTCGAACTTGACGACTCCTGCAAGCGTGCTCTCAGTGACTGAACTTGAACTATGCTGCTGCCTCATACATGATCGGTCTTGCACTCTGCCCAAGTCCTTAGGGTATGCTTCATATATTCTGCAGTGTATTTCGCCTGCAAAACATCTGCTGCACTCTTCATTTTATGTGCTTCTGGTTGGTTCTTTCTTGCCCTCCCCCCCCCACACCAACCCAGCACCCCCATGTGACTCTGTGCTCACTCCCCGACATAGGGCAGACATGTCTAGAGATGCATCACTCCATGACATGCTAAGCAGCACGGCCACGGAGCGAGGAGAACCAGACTCAACCTCGCTCTCATCTTTGTGTGGCTCGTAAAGACGTAGTCGAACATTTAAGTGCAAGTTTTCCGACTGAGCCTGTGGTTGTTCTGTTCTTTCAACAAAGTTGTTGCCACACTTCCTTCAGTAACTAGTCGCCCTATCAGCAGATTCCTCCACCAAAGCGGTGGACCACAGCGGCTTCTCTAGAACTACTTTGGGTTTCTCGGCTGCTTCTCTGGTTACTTCAACCCGGTTTCCTGTCGGTTGAGGTGGACAGCCATGTTAAGACTGCAGTTGTGCAACACATCCCCCCCCCTGCCCCCACTTTCAGATGAAATATTAAACAGAGCTTTGTGAGATATTTAAAGCTTGAAACAGTGCTTTGTAATCCGACCTAAAATCCTCCACTTCATCATACTTTATTTTCCACCTGTGACTTTTCTTTGAACGCAGGTAATTAATTGCATTGGGCTTCGTTATTAGGCATCAGATGCAAATACGTACTCGAACTTTCAGATTTAAATTTGTAAAAAAAAAAAAAGAAAAAAAAAAAGGTGGAAAACGACCTTCATTTTTCCACTTCACAAACACACATTGCTTTGTGTCGGTCTGTCGCATCCAATCAATCAATACGTTTGTAAATGGAATGCGACAAGATGTGGAAAGGATCGAGGGGTATGAATACTTTTGGCAAAAAAAAAGCACAGCTGAATCATCAACGCCATCATCTGCTGCGCGACATTGAAATGCAATTATTAAATCATATGGATGTGCTTTTTTTTTTTTCCTGCTTTGGCTGTATCAGGCTATATAACTGGCCATGTGCAATTAAACTGAAAACGGCAGAAACTACGACTTGTTGGTGGAGTTTAATGAAGCCCTTTCGTGTCTCGGTGTTTTACGACAGTAAAAAAAAAATAAAAAAAAATACAACTGCTTGTACAGTGAAAAGCAAATTTATTAGTCCCTCATCCAGGTTTACATAAAGTGCAAAAGTTGACAGAAAGTATTTAAATGACAAAAAAAAGGGAATAGATCACAGAGTAGCACCGCTATGTTAGTCATTCAGTTGCCTACAGAAGGCGTTCAAGTAAATGTAGGACGCTGCTTGAGCCAAATCAGTGTGGCCAGGGATTTTTAATAGAATAATAATAATTAAAAAAAAAAAAAATCGAATGACCAACTCTTAGTGTCTAAAACTTTTGCGCAATGCTGTTTATGTTGCACGACGATGAAGGTCTGACGCAGAATGAAACAGAAACAGTAGTTGTAGTTCACTATGTACATGAAGAAAACAAGTAAAAATGCATGCCGCTGTGTGAAAAGGCACCTCATGGTAAAACTATTTCCAAAATATCACATTAGTCAGGTTTGGCCTGCACACAGTTTCACTTTTATCATTTGCGGCGCTGCAACCGTCTGTGCCTTCCAACTCCACATGTCATGCACTTCCTTCTGCTTTCAGTCCACGTCTCTTGTGCCTTTGTCGCATAGATTCTCCTTTTCTTCCTTGACCCATTCAGTGCCATCAAGACAATGAAAATACACGGATGCAGTGAGTGAAGAGTCCGAGTAGCGTACTCCACGCCAAGAGTTTCAGGGCTGCAAAGAGCAAATATCCAGTGGAAATGTAGCTCCACCTGCTGGCTGATTTATGTATTGCTTTCGACACAAGTCCTAAATGTCAGAATGGAAAATTTTCAGAAAGTTTTCTGATAAGTTTGGTAGATGAACCTGATAAAGAAAGAAGGTGGGGAAAAAGTCACACCCTGTGATATCCATTTACTTCAGTCTTTTCCATCAAAATCTCTCCTAGATTCTTTTCTTTAGCTCCCATTCCTGCAGGAAAAGAACACAAAGAGGAACGAGTTAATTTTATTTACCTTATTGTGTGTCTTGGGGTAACTTATCACAAATTACAAGAGTCTAAATGTGACGAAACAGATTAGAAAAACAGAAATAAGCCACACCAGAGTGTTTTTTTTTTTTTTTTTACCATGACCAGCCTGTTTGATGTTACAACAACCGAATCAGATTTAAGTCTAGCCTCTGACCAGGCCACTGAAAAGATGGATTTTGTTTGTTTTCGAGCAAAGAAAGAAGTAAAGTGACAGACTGATCAACTGCTCTGAAAGCGCAACATAAATTTAATCAACATCCTCACCTTTGCCTTCTGCATGACGGTCCCAGCAGAGGACGCACAAATCGACGGTGGCCTCTTTCGCATCTCTGCGGCGCAGTTCACTGGTAAAGAGTCACCGTAGGAATTCTGGACTTTTTTGCCAGGCTCCTGAGGAAAGTCGAGAAGTAAATAAAAAACGACTGCAAGGTGAAAGAGCTCCGTCTTTCCGCACAGATGGACAGATCTACCTTGGCAGGTGGCCTGGCCTCCACAGGTGTGCCCAGCGCTCCGCCTGCCAAACTCTTCTTCAGGTTTTCTTTGACCTGCGTCAGCCTCAGCTCCAGGTCCACCCTCTCGGCCTCTTTGGCCTTGCAAGCCTCCTCCAGCTGGGACACGCGCTTCTCCAGCAAGGGCTTTCTCCTCTCTGCTCCACAAAAACCACGTGTACTTTTACATTTAAGTTATCTTTAAAATTGTAACCGTCTCACTGAAGAAACTACTTTCATATCCTCTAAGATACTGAACTGGCACCAAGATGAGATGGTGTTTGTTATTTTATTTCCTGCATTTGGAGAGTAATGCACTGCTCCAGTGAACATGTCTGAATGCTCCCTCTCCGTCAGCGGCACACCGCGGGAATCACAGGAAATTCATTCATTAGACATGGGAGACATTTTCATAACCATGTTGTTGTTTTTAATACGAGTAATAGTTGTATTCGTCTGACTGGGGGGCATTTTCCTTTCACATGACCCTCATGTAACAGTGGTCAGAAACACAGAAGAGCTGGGAAGAACCCTTCACAATTACTGAAAGATGCCTTGCATAGATTAATCGTGTATTGCAGTAGTATAATCTCAAATTGATGATTTCTAAAAAAAAAAAAAAAAAAAAAAAACATAGATAGATAGACAGATAGATAGATAGAAATTCAATGTTTTTCACCAAATCTTCTGATTCCACAATTACTGGTGCCCTTAAAAAGTTCTTCTAAAATAAATGTAACTGAATCACTTCATGATATGATTGATTGAATTGATCAAACTGTCTGGATTTTTTTCTTTAAGTCAGATGTGTTTTTTTTTTTAAGTCTGAACACGTCTACCGGTGAACAGCTACTCATGCAAACTTTCTGTAACATCAATCAAAACAAGAATTAAAAAAAAAAAAAACACAAAAAAACAAACTTGAAACTGTCAGAGGACTGCAGCCAACAATACAGAACGGCCCACAAGAAACAAAGCCAAGACTATTTCATAGCCAATCTCTGTGGTTAAACTGAAATCCTGGAGGAAACCAGAAGGTGAGCTGAGATGACAAAGAGAAACCGTGTCAAAGGTCACGCTCTGTGAAACATTACAGGAGAAAATGAAGAGCTGTCTCGTTCACAAAAGAGGGTTGCACCAAGAATAAATTGTGGTTTATCAAAAAACTGTAATGTCCTGCAACAGATGATTTATTTATGTACCTTTTTACATACCTTAATCACGGGCGACAATGTATACTGTATATTCATATCTAATAGTATTCTAACAGATTTTAGCTAATGAGAACTGGCGATCATTTAGAGACCACAGGTGAAATTGAAAATGATTCATGATTCATTCATCATTTCTGTTTTCCTTTTGTTTATTCATCTCCTCACCTGAAGCCACCTTCAGCTCTTCCTTCACTTCTCTCTTCTGCTGTCGGAGCGTCACCAGCGCGTGCCGTATTCCGTCCCGCTCCGTTTCCAGCAATTCTTTTTCCCTGAGGTAACGCTTGGCATCTTCCTCCGCTCGTGTTTTCCCATAGCGTCCATATGGGTTGGTATCTGGGTGGGAACAAAAGGTGAGGGGGGTCAGCAGACGTGCAGGGGTTGTGGGGAAAAAAGGAGAAAAGGCCCAGACAGCAACGCATCTCCCCGTCTGATTAATACTACGCTTTTTTTGTTTTTGTTTGTGGCGATTCGGGCGAGGGCTGCACAGCTAAGTAAGTTTAATGCGCTGGTTTTATCTTTCTTTGTGATCAAAACTTTATTTAGGAAGCGATCAGACGACGCGTGAAGAAGAAATGACACGCCGACTCACACAGAGCGGGGAGGTCAGGAGGTGAGACGGCACATCTAATCCGAGCGGTCCAATAAATCTCCAGTTACATCCTAAAGTTCTCAGTCATTAAAAGTGCAGAGCTCTTTTCATGCGTTGGGGAGAAGCAGCGGCGCGAACTCTCTGCAAACCAGAAACGCTAATCTGCTCCACTTGTAAAGCTAATGACACAACAAGGCATTTGGGAGAGGGCGAGAGGAAACGGGAGATCACCGGTGGAAAACGAGAAAAGGACCGACAGAGAAAGAAGAAACATCGAGGCAGATGGGGGGGGCTTTAAATTACGGGGCTGTCAGCAGACTGGCTCGGCACTAGAAGGAGAGCGCAGAGAGTGTGAGCTCGCAAACGCACAAGAGAAATGGGATCTCTGACTCCACTGTGAAATGTAACTGCAGTATGCTAACAGGAAACATCTGCATTATTTCTTTTTAATTCGTTTTCTAGTCTCTGGAGTGACACATGGACACCGTGGGTGGGTGTAAAGCTGAAAAAATAGCGTGTAAAAATATTGTGGAATTGTGTATTCTGCAAAAAAACGTGCCGACACTGATTATCTCAAAAGCCAAGATGAAAAAACAAGCCTTTTGTTGGTGTGTGTGTGTGTGTGTGTGTGTGTGTGTGTTCGAGGATATTCAAAGGTCGCAATTTATCCACAATTCGGGTCGAGATGAAAAACATTTTAATCCAACAACCTTGTTGTTTATTTAACGCCGCCGCACACGGTTGAAAACTTCGCAATTAAAACCAAAAACACCCAAAACAATTTGATTATGAATGATTTGATTAATTGCTGAGAACAATTGTAATTTATTATCTTTAGAAATTTCTTAACTGCTTTATTTGAAGACGACGGCTTACAAAGATTGTTGTCATCGTAGCAATTTTGCTGCTTTAGTTTGGAGACGTTACGCTTTTAGTCATTTGTTGCAATAATTTTATCATCTCATAATCAGAATTAGCTTTGCTTGCAAAGTTTGTGCACACAAATAGAACGTGTGCGGTCTGGTTGTAATTGGCATGACGCAATATTCTAATCTGAAATGCCGAGTCTTAATTAGCTGTCAGCAGAAAATCATCATCAGTCAAACTGGAGCCCAGTTCAAAATGAAAAAAAAAAAAAAAAAAAAATCACTATAAAAAAAATGCTTCAAAGTCATTGAAGTATGGCAGAGCATGAGGGCCAATGTAGGTAATGCTAAAAGTGAAATATCCATCATAAACTCAAGAAGTTTGAGATTGAGTTAATATATTTGAGGTTTTATTTTTAATGTATTACTGTGCAACATCGGAGGATGTCTTAGTTTTATTGTCAGGAACTAAAAAGACTCTAATATCTCAAAAGTTAGGTCTGTTTCTCCAAATCATAATCATTATCCAGGGTTGGAAAATCGGTAGAGGCGTGTTTTCAAGACCGTTTTGGAACCTTGACACTTACTTTTAATCTAACAAACAAATCTCCCTCCATTTTCCTTGAATATCTATGAAACAACAGACCAGATGCACCTACTTGAGCCCGTTCGCTTCAGGGAGACCAGTGACTTGTCTTGGTGGAAGTCGCTGTGGGAGTAACTCGAGTGTCGCTTCCCTTGATTGCGCGATTTCTCCTTTAACTGGGTGGAGGAGAGAGGAGGAAGGGA